GAACTGAATATAGGGTCTTTGATTTGTGAGCGAATGGTTGACAAACTTACGCATAATTCAGTTTCAATTATATCTTTAAGCATAGACTTTTTTTGGTTTTTGTTATTTTTAATGTCAAAAATGCTGATTTACACATGTATGATGTTGAAAAAGAAAGTAAAATTTGCAATGCTTTTTTGCTCATTTAAGTGTTTGTTTTGCAAAAAAATCCAAAATGAATCATTTTCAGATATAACATTTAGATTTTAAGGTGGTATTTAGTGATATTTGTAATTAATGTTCTTTTTCTGTAGAAATTAAATTTGCATTTTTCATATTTTTTTCTTCGCATGAACCATATTATAATATGATTATTATAATTTTTTTTTTTTTTTATCGTACATTAAAATGTAATTAATAGTAGGTAGTTAAAAGTAAATTTATAATAATACTTTAATAATTAACATAATTTCTATATTCTAAACTGTATTAAAAAAAAAAAATTAATTACCTGGAGGTAATATAACTGTACTTGATTGTATTGAAGTGAAATATAATCCAAAAATAACTACAAAAAATCCAATAAAAAGTAGTATTATATACTGAGTATTTCTTGTATAGCCATTTCCTAGATTTCTTTGTTGTGTTGGTTGAATATATCTCCTATAAAAAAAAATAAAAAAAATAATTATTTCTTTATTTTTTAATCATGTATTGTTCAACAAACCTTGAATTTTGAGAATAAATTGATGAAACAGGGGATGGAAAATCAAACTGCGAGGTATTTGACACATCACTTTTATCTATACAAAAAAAATTCATTATTTTTAATATTTACTATTTAACTATGTATTTTAAATTTGGTTTAAAAGTATGTTAGATCCATGTAAGTTATCTTTAAATTATTAAACTTTGAACTCAATAGTTAGAGAAAGATTGATTTACATATCCTTATAAAATAGCTCAAAAAATTACTATCTCAGTTAGATATGAATTTTCATAAATCTATTTTGAACTGTTACAATGCTAAAAATATCAAAATCATTTACATATTATTTTATTATTTTTTCAAAAAATATTTATTAATCAAATTAATTGTTGTTACTTTACAATTTATATTTGTATTTTTTTTTGTTCATATACTATAGAATTTATTTAGGTAATTATCATATCCTAATATCTTTAGATATTTGTCAATTATAGAAAGGCAAAGCTTTAAAGTAATATGTCTAGAGATAATGACAAATTTTGATTATCACTTATAGCTGATCCCATTTATGTTAGTCTCGTATATTTTTAATATATTATTCTATTTGTCAGAATAGTTGCACACAAAAAAAAGGGCATTTTAGAGTAGGGCTCTGAAGTTTATGCATTTTTTTTTGGAACTTATTAGATGATGCTCTCCTAGCCACAAATGTGTTTCATAAACATGTGTATCTAAATAACTAATTTTTATTTTGCATTTTTTGGCTTCTTTGATTTTTAGTCATTTTTGGTACTATTTTCCTTTTTAGTTCAATTTCTTGTATTTATATTATTTTGTCAATTAACATCTTTACATGCAGTTTTTGTTTTACCCAGACTATATAAAAGTACCTACATCTAATTAATATTTTATATAAGTTGTATACGAGTTAGGTAAAGATAAAGATCAGAATAAGGCAATTTCTAGCTGTAATTTTTACTTTTGATAATATAAAATATGCTTTAATAGTACAATACTACAATGTAATCATTTTAAGTAATTTTTATTATTACTATTCTTTTTTTAAGAAAAAAGTATTTTTACTAATTTTAAATAAATGTTTATAATTTTTTATATCAATTTTTGAGATTTTTTTATCATTTTTGCATTTCTTTTAGTTCATTTTTAATGTTTTTAAGGTCATTAATTTCCAAGCTCTAATAATGAGATTACATATTAATTTTATAAATTTTTAGGATAGTTATAATTTTTTTTTTTTTTTAATATCATCATGATTTTTATAAATAAATTCAAACAAATTATTCCTTAACATTATTAATAATGGATTTAATTTTTCTAATGGTTTATTAAATTTTTTAATCTTGGTTTTGGATTTTTAAATTTTTAGGTGTCAATGATAAAAAAAATATTATTTTTAATATATAAATCGAATATGATCAACATAGTGTAGGTACAAATATAAAATGATTAGACTTTATTCGATAAATAAGAATCTTATTGGCTTACTTAGAGATTGACTCATCATTTTTTCTTTCCACCTTTGAATAGCTTGATCAGCATAAGGGGTTTCAGTGACAGGATTAGAACGTGGACTTCGAAAAACAGGTTCCCGAGGAGTGATACTAACACTAGAGTCATAAAGTCTTGGTTTTTTTTTTTCAGTCTGTATTTCAGGTAGTTTACTAGAAAACTTCTTAGTTTCTGCAAAGTATTAAAATATTATAAGAAAACTTTGAATGAAATGAACATAGCCACATTAGTAACAGACCTGTAAACAAATAAGAATTTTTTTCCTCATCCTCACTAGCAGAATGATTCCAATTTGATACATTTAACAAGGATATATCATTTGATTTGGGGGATTCAATTTGGCTCGAATGGCGGCTCTCGAGATCCGCAAGTTTTTTCAGCAACAATCTTCTGGTCGAATTGGTGACCGGAGGAACAACAGTGTTGAAGGTCAACAGACGTCGCCGAAGTTCTTGATCAGAGATACTCTCACCCATTGCACGACTAAAAATCAAAAACCTGCTATTATTATAAATAAATTGATATTTATATTGAAAATTAGAAGAAACATTTGGTAATAATCTATTCTGAGAACGGTAAAAATCAAATATGGAGTAGGCTAAAGTTGTTAGATTTTAAACTAAATTATAGTACTCACGACTGGGTAGTGTTTACGGAAGAAAACGAACCACAACAACTATTTGGTGGTCGGTGGCAGTATACCGACGTTGTTTGATCGGTCAGAGGCGGTGGTTCAAAATCTTCAACGTTATTGGGACAACCATAACAGCCGGCGGATACAGGCGTTTGATCCCTGCCGTTTGATCGAAATCGGCTGAACAGAGCGCATTAATCAGACAGGAATTCGGCCGTTTTTATAATTTAACCTACAATGAGATAAATGATAATAGTATATATTATGTTTTATTGGGCACGAAAATTCCGTTATTTTAATCAGCTCGCTGAGAGCGTAACCTTGGTGCTTACACCGATACCGGAATACCGGATACACAACATCATTACAACCACGACTGTATGTTATATATAAATATATATAATAGTATATTATTAAACACAATACAATTATACAATATTAAACATTATGTGTGTGCTCACTATGCACTATAAACACGCACACTTTTCGCAGTGTTGCAAGCGAGGATCCAGAGATGGCAGCCAGCCAGTGTAGCCAAAGCGCTAGTTTTCGGTTCTCATTCCTCATCATTCATTCACGAATCACACAATTTATTAAATCGTTTGAACGCGGTAAATAAACACGGTACTTGTTTAGTTTTAATATCCTAACCTAAAATAAGAGGTGGTAACCAGTATTGCCAACAATACAAAATTAGTAGTAATAATTTGGACTGATTATATGTATACTTAATAAAGTAACACCACTGACATCTAAAAAATTCAGCAAATATAAAATAACCACTATAGGTATATCTAAGTCGTAAAATAACGACAAAAAACCGCCTTAAATAATGATTTGCAGATAATCCGCAAAATTCTATAATTACATATATTATGTATTATTAAAAAAATTAAATAATATAATTTTAAATAGTATTTAAGAAAAGTTAAATTAGAGTATGTTTTATTTTTATTTAAACATTCATAAAATATTAAGAAAATATTTTAAATTTTATAGCTAAAAATAAAAAATACACTTCTATAAATTGTTGTTTTTTTTTTTATTTAAAAACACTTTTGTTAAATTTGTGATTCCGCAGAAGATTATGGATAATTGAGAGTACCTACACACTATACTAACAAAAAAGTACAGTAAATTATATTATCAAATAATAGTAAATATTTTTTGAGTGAATATTAATGAGTAATGTTAGCATAGTTATTTTTCAGAATATTTTACACAGTGTTTCACATAATATGAAATTTAATAATTTATGAATTAAAGTGACTTTTTATGATGCTTTTTTTCTGTTACAGTCCCTTTTAAGGCAATTTTTACCAAATGTTTATTTTTGTTTAAGCCTTGCGTTGTATGTTATTTATAATTTTTTTTCATGGTTTCAAAAAATTATTCATAAAGGTTCTTGAATGTATTGAACACCGGAACACACACGGACTCTGCGTCTCTGCAGTATTATGTAGACAATATACACCACGTGTCTTTAAATATTGCAAAGTCCTGCCATAATGATGTGCTATTTGTGCTAAATATTGATATATATATATGTAAATTGAGTCGATAATCATATTTTTCTATTGGGCATTTGGTCCGGGCTGACGTCAAATTAAATTTTGTGTTTAGCTGTTCAACCAATATTATGTAAATTTTATTTTTAGCCATGTTAAATATATTTGTGTAAAGATTTTCCAATATTTCAAAATGGTCCAGACTGTCGCAATGTACGTTTAAAATTATTGATTGGGTGTCATATAAAAAATTTACATTATTATATACAATACGGCTATTAGGTATGTATATATTAAATGTATTTTTTTATTGAATGTGATTAAATAGAAAAAAGTATTTGATTTTGAAAACAATTTCATCAAAAAATGTTATTTTAAACTTTTTACACGTATATTTAGATAATAGTCAAGCAAATAATAAATATATATATTTATTATTTATAGATAAATTGATTATTAGTATAAAATAAGATTATAGTCTAAGTCAAAACAGAGTGAAAGAACTTTGTTTTAATATTTTTGTTCGTTATATTCCAAATAAACAATGTATCAGAAAATATAATTATGTTATTTTATTTTTGTTTTTAACAAAAATATGAATACTATCAATTACTATTAAAGTAATTTATTTTTTGTTATGAATAGATAATACAAAAACATAAAGTACTTATAATTAAACATTTGTTCATATAATAAAACTATCTTATGTTTGATTGCTTGAACATGTTAAGGTTTATAAACATTAAGTACAAACCAAATGATTTATAAAAATTATGAGATACGTTAATCGTCACTTAATTAATGTCATTATGTTGTATCATTTAACCTAACTCATACTAACACCAGGTGACATAGGTTGAACCCATCTCCATACTTGGAAGTCTTCACCATCAATTTCTTGAACTTCGGATCTTACACTAGATTCTGATTCAGTAAAGTATTGAACTACTTCAGCCCAAATTTTAGATTTTGCTAAAAAAATTAAATATTAATTTACAAACAATTTATAAGTGTAAAAATAAAAAAATGTTTTTCTTACCTTGTCTTTCATTGAATGGAATCAAATGATCACGTATATGAATAATAGGTAAATAACTTTCATTTGGTTTATTTCGTGCTTGTTCTTTAAGTAAATCAATTGTATTTTCAACTAATTGGTTTACTTCCTGTTTATAGTTTTCACTTTTTGTTGAGATGTAGCATATAACAAAATAAAGACCAACAATTGACAGAGCCACTAGAAACAAGATATATAGATTTAAACAATATTCTATTTATTTACATAAATAGATGAAATTAAATTCATGACATAAATAAAATAAATATAATTTTAATATTTTATGTCAACAATTCTCAATCGGTGATTGTCAAAACATAGGACAAAAGTAGAAGAATATTACTTTTTTGCATAATAGTTTACAATTTTTTAGGTACTTATGTTGTATATTGTATTAATAACAATAAACTACCTGTTAAATATAGGATATTTTTATGAAAAAGTAACCAAATTTATGTATAAATATATTATCAATTAATTAAAAACTTCAAATGATATTAAGAAATCAAGGTTAAGACTGCAAGAAATTTTTTTAGTACGTATTTAAACTTTGAATACAATTACATAAATATTTAAAAAGAATGATGAAAAGTTTTAATGTTAGTCATGAAATAAATCTATAAAATGATATAATGGCATTTACAGAAAATAAAATATTGTAAAACTTTTAATACTATACATTGAGTATACATACCTATACCAATCCATGTAATTAGATAAAACATATTGGAAAAAATATGTTTTGTTGCACAGAGAATTGGCAAATTTGGTTGTACATTGATTTTAAATGAAGTGTCAAATCCAATTGGTGAATCAGAATAGGTTTTTGCAATGCTTTTAAAAAGTTCAACTAATTCTTCAATTTCCCTGGATGGTAAATTTTCATGTGTTGAAATATATTCAAATACAGTTTGTGGATTTATTATTGGCTCAATATCTGATTTATCACATTGGTTCTTTATATACTTATCTTGTACTTGCATTACTAATAAGTTGTACAAACGTTGTACTTTTTCTTGTTCTGTATCACAATCAAGTCCTTGGAAACCTTTTTTAGCACATAATGAGCTTAAAATACCTAAAAATAATAAATAATTTTTTGATTTAAAAAATTATTTATATCTATACAATGTATTAAGTTATTTTAATGTTATCAATTCTAGAACTGAAAAGTTTGATTTAACATAAGTTTAATTTAAATTTCATTGGAAAAATTAACACTTCTATAATGTCAATAACCAGTTTTTAATATTAAAAGTTCCCAGTAAATGATAATATTATCAATTAACCATAAATGTAACTTTAAGTGTTTTTAGGGAATAGCAAAACAATGAATATATTCATTTATATTGATTATCACAAAGCCAAAAAAAAAAAATTTAAAATAAATGTGATCAGTCAATAAAGTACAAACTTTATTATTTTATCATTTATGAAAACAATAGTTTATTTTTTTTTACTTATTTATTAAGTAAAATACAAAATTATATTGAAACCATCTGGACACAATATTCAAAATTGGGATGCAATGGCAACCATTATTTTTGTGTATTATTATTTATTATACAAAAAATTAATAATATAAAGAGAACGCTATACTATCATGTATTATTTGTTTTATAAGTGCCAGTGCATACTACTTGCGTCCTAAATTAATAATATCAGATAACTTGCATCCAAGTAGTTAGAACGCAACTTACTTGTCGTATATATTGATATGTTAATTGCGTATCAGATGATTATTTTGTAACAATATAATTTTATAATTTATAGTTAGGCATATCTATTAAAGAAAAAAAACATAGGTATAAGTATGTAAATTGTTATATTTAATAATTATTAAAAATTTTTTGAAATTATTAACAAAATCACTAATTTCAGAACTGTATGAAGATAATATGAAAATAAAACACAGGTATATATTGTTATATAATTAAAAAAAATCTATAAATGTTGTTATAAATCAATATTAGGTAAACATTAATGGCATAAATTAGTTATAAATAACATATTGTTAATATCTTTGTTGATAAGTTTGGCAATTTGAGTTTTGATAAGTTTTATTTTATTTTTTGGGTCACTCTTATAATTTTTATTTGGTTTATTCAAACTGTTCATTATAATATATGTATTAATTTATAATTCTTTTAGTACTTAGATGAACACAAAAATTAGGGTGTGAGTGATAAAATGAAGAATTAAATTTCGAATGAAATGATTCACATGAGTTAGTGGTACACTGAATAATAGTAGAACACTCAGATCATATTTAAGGAGGGAAACCCAAATCTTCAGAGATATAATTATTTAGAATATAATCATAAATTTATTGATACCTAACCAAAATCATTGTTTGGGACGCAAATAATTTGTAAGTTGTGTTTGACTATTTGGGACGCAACTTACCTATGATAATATTGCAAATTCTTAACAACAACCTTATGGGATGCAAGTAACATGCAGTATCAAGCGCATAACATAACAAATTGTAAATTCTTGAATCTATTAAATTTACTCATTTATGCTTAATATTACAGTAAATTTCAAAATAAATAAATTCACTGTAATATTAAGTATTAACGAGTTAAACGGATTCTTCAGAACATACAATTTGTTATGTTATGTATTTGTAAAATGGGGACAACAAATGAAAGTGTAGCGTCTTCTTAATTAGGTATTATATGTATAGTTATTGGTAATATCGACTTTCAAAATGTTTAAGAAACAAAGTTGATGGTAAGTGAACACCCCCCCTCCCCCATTGGGGAAACGCCACTGATTAGATATAGTTATAAAAAAATTATTTTATGCATTTCACTTCTGATAAATGTTACAGTTAGATTTGGATTTGTTTAATTATAAATTAAAAGCTGAGTTTGAAACTGATTTTAATGATGTAAAATCAAAAAGTACCTAATAAGAAAAACAAATTATATTATAAAATAAGTTTAACATGTTTTTTTATTACTTGTTGGTAATACAGTTTTGCTTGGTTGTACTGCAACAAAGTATAATCCAAAACACACAGCAAAAAATCCAACAAAAAGGAGCATGATAATTTGTGTGTTTTTTGTATAATTTATTAGATTCTTTTGTCGTGTAGATTGAACAAAATTTTTCCTATATTAAAATCATATTTTTATTATCTACATAGATACATTAATATTTTGTTACTATAAAATATTAATTAACCAACCTTAAACTTTTTGAAGGCATTTTTGAAATAGGTGATGGTGAATTAAACAATGAAGTTGTCTTTGGTAAATTGTTTTCATCTACAAACGAACATACCAAAATTATTAATTAAAGTGCAATTTTGTATCTAATGTTTTATTATAACATGTAATTAATGAATCATTGCTTAAATAAGAAAATAGGTTTATATTTTATTCAAAAATTTGGTAAATACTTACCCTGTGATTGGTTCTTCATTTTTTCTTTCCACCTTTGTATTGCCTGATCAGCATGTGATGGAGTTTTGGAAACAGAACTTAAACGAATTGGTTCAATAACTACTGTCGATCTTTTGATTGCTTTAGAGTCAAAAGGTTTAGATGTTATTTTATCTGATTGTATTTCATATTTTTTTACAGGAGAATTTTTTGTTTCTGTAGAATTATTTATTTTTGAATTAAAATGTGTAAGATAGGCAGTTAATGACACATAAAATTAATAATTTACCTGGTGAAACATATAAGTTTTGTTGGTCATGAGAATTTTTCCAATTGGATACATTCATTAAAGATGTTTCATTTGATTTAGGAGAAGAACTAGCTATATATGGATTGGCAGACAATATGGAATGTCCTAGTGTACCAGTATCAACTTCCGAATCTGAAGTATCAAATAGATCTGGAGCTTGATACTTTCGCTGTTGACGAACGCTTTTCCTGGGACTATTCATGTTATCAAATGTCTTGTGCTGAGAATTTTTTCCGTCCATAGAAGATGATATTATAATAGACTCATTGGTACCATTAGCTAAACCTCTTAATTTTGGTGGTGGCATAATATTAGAAGCAGCTGTATTGCTTGATTGTTTACTTTCAAGACTTGCAAGCTTTTTCAACAACAAGTTCCTAGTAGTACTGGTAACAGGAGGTACTACTGTATTGAATGCCAACAAACGGCGACGTAGTTCTTGGTCTGATATGATTTCACCCATAGTGTCTGTTATTAAGATTACTTGAAAATAACAAAAAATAATGTACAATAATAAAAATAAATGTTTATAATGTTATTAGTACGAAATTACAAGATTGGTTGGGTGGAATTTATGAGAGCAGTAAAAATAACATACTTACAGAGTGAATGATGTTGAAAGAGCAAATAAATTCGTTAAGTAGGTATTCAGTTATTGAATATTAATAATGAGTAATCGTCATGTTATTGAAAACTTTTGATTCGATAGTTGTTGTAATTTCTGTTTTTAGTTTTTAATTACAATTCACAACTACTATTGATAGACTATACTCATCTATAGTAGCTATTGAGTATTGGCAAAATAAATAACAAAAACAATCAATAATAAATATCAACTAAACACAATTAGCGAAGCTAATTAAGGAGTAAAGTACTCAAGGAATCAAAAATTCAAGAGACAACCGACAAAAAACTAAGTTCGTATTACTGTTAAAAAGAGTTTATAAATATTATAAATTAATAATTTAAAGTAAAAAGTTATGAAAGACTAATCAGTAACCTGTAACCGCGACTAACGTGATTCCGTTATTTAAATCAGCATCATTGTTGATCAGTGTCGCCAATATCATATAATTTTTCAGTGGCAACCACAGCTGATGTATACAAATTTTACAAATAGGTATTTACGAGTATATAGTAATTTAGTATTTTTAATTTTTATATATTATCTATCTATAGTAGTGTAGTTGTAGTAGCAAAACAACCAGCCAAAAAGCCAATGGCCATTATAATTTTTGATCTATTATGATATTTTCAAATATACTGTGATAATGTGATCAATGAATAATTTATTGATAATTATTAATTGATATACTAGATTCCAGATAAGCCAGATGGGTTGTATAATGTCCAGTACAAGTTGTACTAGATTGATCACGGGCCAGGCTGTTTTTATGGATGTTTTTTTTTTTGTGTATAAATGGACACACAGAAAAATTCAATCAACTCTCTGTAGTGCAAGATTTTGCTAACTTTGTGTCCACTAAAATAAATACCTGGTAAAGTGTGTAGTAACTTTAATGTATTATTTTTCGTAAAAAAATTATTATATATCCAAAGTTAAATGTCATATGTGGCACTCTTAATTATTTGTCCCCATTCAATGAGTACTTATAGAATTATTATAGACTTTATTATTATGTTATTTATTGCTAAAAACAAAATTAGTTTTGTAATTTTATATTTTGCATGTAAATGCATATTTTGAGTATTTTGCTTTTAGGGCATGCTTAATAAGCATTGCTTATTATATTATACATTTTGATACATCTTTTAATTAATTTATAATTATATCAATATTTTATTTCATTTCATATACATCCAAATCAGTTAATTTAAATTTATTTTTAATTTTTATCATATTGTGGATGTTGATTAGACACAATATTTTCCTAAATGCACTTGAAGGTTACTGATTATATAAATTTCCTCTTTATTAATTTTATTTATAAATAGGTTATTGCTCAAAATATGATTCATAGTCGATACTCGGCCGTTGCATAGTTGTAAGTTGTAAAAAAATTAAATAAATTCATAAATTCATTCAATATTACAAATAAAAAAATCTTGTTTTTGACTTAAAAATATTTATTTTAAAATGCATATTTTGGGTGTTAAAGTACATATTTGGTGACGTTTTAGAGCTACAAGTCTTTTACCTAGAACCTATCAGCACCGGTTATCAAGTTCAGGAGTAAGTTCGTATTACGTTTGAATAATAAATAGATGTGTTATTATAATTTGAATTGTTAATCAATAGTTATATGGGCTTATACGTTTACACTCTTATAGTACGTTATAAACGATTTAAAATAGAATAAAACATATGAAAAATTTGTATGTGATCATAATATATTACAATCGGTATATAAGCCTATTATTTTGAAAAAAAGTATTTAAAAAATCTCAGTATAGGTACTTAACTTTAATAGATTAACACTCGATGTTCTCGAATTATGACCAATAAAGATTATAAGTATTAGTACTAAACAGTATTTACACATTTTCAAATGTAAAATTTATTATCTATTATTAATATATTTATTTAAACAAAAAAATATAAAATAAATTTCCATTAGCTAAATATATTTATCACAATAATTTCTATATTTTTTTACATGTTATTTAAAAAGTAATTTTTTTTATTTGTATTATAATTTATAAGACATTTTTTCATTTTGGGTGATAGGAATATCACAATTAAAAACAAAATTTTGTTCTTTTACCAAATCTTTTAGTAAATTCGGTAAAGGTTTTTGAGGTTTGGAATATATTTGGTCTGTAGATTCAAGATAGTGTGGTATTTTTCTGTATAATAATGAGCAATTATAGTATACGATTTTTGTCTAATGGAAAATGTCGGAAATTTTTATGTACTCCATCCAAAGTTTATTTCATGGAGGTGACTGGGGATGTATTACTCCCCCAGGAGAAAAGTGTTTACCTCCCAGAAAAATGTAAGACTTACTACGTCAACTAACAATAAAATAAAATAAATATTATGATAACTTAAGCTATAAAACATAGGTTGTATTGGCTATTACTCATTGAGGCCACTTTTTATGTGAATAAAAATTACAAAAGTAATTGTGTACCTATGCAATTTAGATTTATTTTAATTTCCCTCCATTATTTGCTCTAATCTTATAATATTTTTTTGAAAATTTACGATACTTCCCTCTCTCAGAATAGAAGGTCCTGAAGGTCTGAAATAAATACTGACTCCGTCGTTATTGCTTACAATCATTTTAAATAATAATTAAAAATTGGTTAAATACTATACCTCATGTACAATACATACCTTATGGCTTATGGCTTATATGATTAAAATTATATAAGTATATAGTTAAGATAACGAAATTAATATTGAACTTGATTATATTTCACTGAAACACAACATTTTTTTTATAGATTGACAAATAGTTTTTTTTACGGAATTTCGTTATAGTAATCATGATGTGTTTTGAGAGCTTTTCTGTCTAGTATATTCACATAGTTTTTGTATGTGACTATATATATGTGAGTACATTTATGTATGTACCTACTATTTACTATTATTATATTTTATAATTCATAAGTTATTTTTATTGATTGTTGTAATTATTTTTAACAATAATTTTACATACTTAATAAAATTTAATAAACCATATATTATCTAACTGTTGATTTCGAAAAATTAATTTATAATATAAGATAGTATAATGATAATATAACTTACTGTATTTTTGTATGTTAACATAAATATGTATAGTCACATAATACTCATAATAGTATTTATTATTTTAAACGTGTCATGAGAAAAGATGATTTTATATACAATTAAAATTAAAAATGACTTTCACTGTCGCACTATTTTATAAAAATATTGAGCCAATCATAGTAATTAATTTAAAGCAATTTTTTTTTTTTTTTTATAATTTGAAATACACAATCTGTACAACATAGCATAATAAGTGCTATGTATATTGCAATAAGTACTATAATAAGGTATATACCTATGATATTATAATAATAACATGAATATTTTGAATTAAGAAATCACCCATTGGTGACACTTGGCTGGAAATTTCAAAGCATTTAAAAATACAATATAAGGTTTTAAAAATATAGTGAAATTTCATTATTACTTAAGTAAAATTTAATAGTAAAATTTACAATTTGATAAAGGTTAATTAATTATTTTAGTAACTACCTGGGAAGCGAGGCGTGTATATTAGGCTAAATAAAATATTGATAGATACGTATTTTAACATGAAATTATAACTTATAAAATATGATTTATAGTAGTATTTAGACGAATATATTATATATACATTATACAAATGCTTTTTTATTACTATTTAATTACAGTGTTATTATATTGTATACTCGTCTATGTACAAAATATGTATAGTTGATTTACTATATGGATATATTTATTGTATTAAAAATGGATTTGAAATATTTGAATTATGCTTAAGAAATATTATTGACACATACTGCACATTCATACTATAATTTATTTATTTTATATTTAACTATGTTTTGACTAAAATATAGGAATATAGTTATTTCATTATTATAATTTATAACCATTGTAATCATACTCAGATAATAAATTAGACTTAAAATCATACTTAATAATACTAAAAATACCAACTCAAAAACAATATTTTTCAAATATTGTTTTTCTTCTTCCAATACACATATTTTAACTGAATAAAATTGATAAATTACATCCTTGATAAATAAAATACATATAAATGAATTGACGAAAACGGTTGCTATGTTAGAGTGAATATTATTTATTATTTTAATGAAACGTTTATATATATATATATATATTTATAACTATACACCCAAATAAAAAATTAGGTTAAGCTTATTTATATACTTTTATTTATTATTAGACTGTTATACAATTATGTATTAGAGTATAATTTATAATCATAAACGCATTTATTTTGATAGCTTATAAAATTATACATTTAAGATGAGATTTTATGACTGTCAACTGACAATACGCTCGTACATTTAACAGGTATTCTTCACTGGTAGATAATACTACCGTAAGAATAGCAATAGGAATGGTATACAATAAAATTGTATATTATATTATGTAAGTATTAATTGATAAAACAGTATACATATACGAGATGTATACTAAAAAAGTTAAAATAATGTACATTTTTAAATATTAGTCTCCTTCAGAGTATTAATTTTTTGATGTTATTTATTTTTACCAACATTTATTCTGTCACTTTTTGAAGCAATTCTGGAAACTTTAAACTTTAATAACTTGCTCGACGGCTTAAGGTTACTCACCACATTTATTGTTATTGTTTTGATGATATCAAATCGTTATCCTATGAGGTTAATAATTTTATTATTAGGATATTAAAAAATTTGTATGTAGTTAGGTTAGGCGAGTAAAGAGGAGTCTAGGTCATTTTTTTGTTTGTTTTTTTCGAACTTTGATAAACTTTAATTCAATTAATATTTTAGTATCGAGACAACAATTTTAGAACCATTTTTTACAGATTTCGTATTCATAATAATCTTCCGATAAAATAGTTTGGCGTGATTCATAAGAAAATATTACTAAATACTTACTAAATAGAATGTTCACTTATTATTATTTATCTACCTGATCAGATATTTTCTCAAACGTTTACATTATATTTTCATATTTTTTTGAGTTTGAGTGTCAATCAATTGACTAAGACTTATAGTTGCCTTAGATCCTATATAAACTTTTTGTGTCGTTAAGATATTTTAGATATATTTATTGCTTTATTTTAGAATGATGCATAACAATTATAAAATTTTTATCGTTAATTTTTCGAGTTTAAGACAAAAACTAATGCAAATACGTTACTTTGGTTTATTTTACAGGACAAAAATGACGACAAACATGACAAAATATATGACTTCAATGGATTTTTAGTCTATTGCTAAAAT